CTAAGATCTAAAAGACAATAACCAAGCATTGGTGAGGATGTGTAGAAGTTGCAACTCTCACTCGAGGGTTTATCCATTGTTCATCAGTGGTTTGTGCTTTTTGTGTCTTATGTAAAAAATTTTTGCCTAGTTCAAGATCATAATTTTTTTTTCTGTTTTCTACTAGAAGTATAATTTTCTCTCTTACATCTAAGTCTATGATCCATTTTGAGTTAATTTTTGCAACACTGCTGGTTGGAATGTAAATGGTAAAGCCACTTTACACTTGGAATAGCTTAGCAGTTCTTGAAAATGGTAAACATAGAGTTACAGAGGACTCAGCAGTTCCACTCCTAGGCATGTATTGAAAAGAATTGAAAACTGGACCACACAAAAACCTGTACATGAGTGTTCATAGCAGAATTATTCATAAATAGGCAAAAATGGAAACAACCAGATGTCCAGAAAAGGGTGAATAGATTAACAAAATGTGGTTATTTCCATATAGTGGAATACTACTTAGCAATAAAAAAACTACTTATTGATAGATGCAACTACAAGGATGAGTCTCAGAAACAGTACATTAAGTGAAAGAAACCAGACACAAAAGACTGCATATTGTTTGATTTATTGATATTAAATTTCCAGATTAGGCAAAACTATAAAGACAGAAAACAGATGGTTGCCTGAGTGGGGATGTTGGGAGTGAGGATTGACTACAGCAGGGCAGGAGAGAACTTTTTGGGGTGATGGAAGCATTATCAGCAGTGATTGTGGTGATAATTTCACAACTCTGAAATACTAAAACTTAAGGAACTATTCATGAAATGGGTGGATTTTATGGTATATTAGTTATTCCTCAATAAAAACAACAGCGTATGAGTTTAAAAACAATTCCAGAGCTTACTGAAAACAGGAATTCGTGAGTTCATACTGATAATAAGCCGATAAATACGGATGAAGGAAGGGCTCTTAGACTAAAATAATAAATGCTAACTAGTAAATAAATATGCAGGGAGTGGTGAACTTGGAAAATTAGCATTTTGCAGCTATCTAGAATAAAAGAGTGGATTAATTAAGAATCACCTATTGATGCTAAGTCTCCAGACATTTTGATCAGAAGCAGGATATTTGCATGGCCTGAAAATATCTTCTCACAGATCGCTTATTAGTTATAAGAGAACAGTAGTGCAGAAATCAGACAATGTCTTGGCCAGGTGGTAAGAGCTAAGAAAGGGCATATGGACATCACGTCTCTGATTGTTGACACTTTGAAAAGGACACATTGCCATCTAAGTAGTATTTCTCCTGAGAATTCATAACCTGAATTTAATTAGGAAGAAACATCGGCAAACCTCAAATGAAGACTTTCCATGAAAAAGGGTGGAGGGTGGTGGTGATTTGGCTACGTTAAAAAAATAACAATGTCGGGCTGGCCAAAGTGGCTCAGTTGGTTAAGAGCTTGCTTAAGAGTGCGAGCTCTGAGCGACAGGGCCACCTGTTTGATTCCCACATGAGCCAGTGAGCTACGCCAGAGCTGAGCTGCTGCTGAGCTGCCAACAGGTGCCAGGATGGCTCAGCTGGTGAGAGCACGTGCTCCTAACAAGACTGCCTGTTTGATGGTGGCCACCCGCAACTAAGACTAAACTTGGCACCTTGAGTTGAGCTGCTGCCCGGGTGGCTCAGGGGATAGAGCATGCGCTAGTTTTTAATTTTTATTTTTTTAAGATTTTTATTGGGGAATTGGGGAATGGGAACAGTGCTGGGGAATTGGGGGAAGGGGAACAGACAAGTTGCTGTCCTTTTGTTCTTCAGTCTAGCTGTGGAGGACGTTGCTTCACTGGCCCAAGTTGGCACCATCATTGCGCTCTTCCAGGCCGAGGCAGATCAGTCACCGACTTTTGGACGGCTGCTCACAGCAGCTTGAGGGCCGCTCACGCTGGCTGCTGGCTACACACGGTAGCCCATGGCAACCCACTGCAGCAGGGACTTCAGCCTATGAGTCAGCCCAGTTCCAGGTTGAGCTGTTGTTCAGCATCTTAGCTGTGGAGGGCAGTGTCACTGGCCCTCATATGTGGGATCCGAACCGGGGACCTCTGGCATCCCAAGCCAGCTCTTAACCAACGCACCACTCGGTCGACCCGAGTGTGCGCTCTTAACCACAAGGCTGCCGGTTCGAATCTCACATGGGATGGTGGCTGTGCCCACCGGCAACTAAGATTGAACACAGCACCTTGAGCTGAGCGGCTGCGAGCTGCCGAAGGGCGGCCGGATGGCGATTGGACTTGGAGGTGAGCTTGCTGCTCTCCTCACATCTAAGATTGAAGGACAACAACTTGGCTGTTTCCCCTCCCTCAATTCCCCAATTAAAAAAAAAAGAGAAATGATATTATATATCAATAGTTTAAAAAAAAAAAGCAATGTCGTAAAAGTGGAAGGTTGTGGAAATGTTCCAAATGAAAGAAGGCTAAAGAGCCTTTTCCTGTGGGAGCCCCCGGGTTGAGGGGAGCATGTCTGTCTCCTGTCCCCGCCATGGCGTGTGCTTGTCCACTGACATCAGTGTACTCTGAAAAGGGGGAGTCATCTGGCAAAAATGTCACTTTGCCCGCTGTGTTCATGGCTCTCATTCGACCAGACAGTGTGAATTCTGTTCATACCAACTTGCGCAGAAACAACCGACAGCCCTGTGCTGTCAGTGGATTCGCAGATGATCACACCAGTGCTGAGCCGCGGGTCCTGGCAGAGCTGTGGCTCGAATCCCCAGCATTCAGGTGGTGAGACTCATTGTTCTGGCCAGGGTGCTTTTGGAAACCTGTGTCGTGGGGGCCACATGTTTGCACCAACCAAAACCTGGTGACGACGTCTGCGCCACAGGTGAACACAACACAGAAGCGATATGCCATCTGCTCTGCCCAGGCTGCCTCGGCCTTACAGCGCTGGTTGCGTCTAAATGTCATCGTATTGAGGAAGTTCCTGAATTTCTTTGGTGGTTGAAGGTTAAGTTAAAGGCTAGAGGGGGCCGGCCGAGTGGCGCAATGGTTAAGAACTGGCTTGGGATGCCAGAGGGCCCCGGTTAGGATCCCACATATGAGGGCCAGTGACACTGCCCTCTACAGCTAAGATGCTGAACAACAGCTCAATCTGGAGCTGGGCTGCTGTGAGGCTGCAGCCCCTGTGGCAGTGGGTTGCCATGGGCTACCGTGTGTAGCCAGCAGCCAGCGTGAGCAGCCAGCAGCCGCAGTGAGCGGCCGTCCAGAAGCCGGCGACTGATCTGCCTCACCCGGTAAGAGCGCAATGATGGTGCCAACTTGGGCCAGTGAAGCAACATCCTCCACAACTAGACTGAAGAACAAAAGGACAGCAACTTGTCTGTTCCCCTTCCCCCAATTCCCCAGCACTGTTCCCATCCCCCCAATTCCCCAATTAAAAGAAAAAAAAAAAGTCTAGAGGAAGACCAAGGAGGCTCATTTGCTTCTTAACAAGCTTAAGGCCTGGAATGATATGAAAAAAGTCTATGCCTGTCAGCGAATGAGAGCTGGCAAGGGCAAAATGGGAAACTGTCATCATATCCAGCCCAGGGGACCTTGCATCATCTATAATGAGGACAATGGCATCATCAGAGCCTTCAGAAACATTTCTGGAACTACTCTGCTTAATGTAAGCAAACTGAACATTTTGAAACTTGCTCCTGTTGGGTGAGTGGGCTGTTTCTGCATTTAGACCGAACGTGCTTTCCACAAGTTAGATAGTCTGTATGGCACTTGGTATAAAGCTGCCTCAATCAAGAATAACTACAACCTTCCCACACACAAGATGCTCAATGCAGACCTGAGCAGAACCTTGAAAAGCCCAGAGATGCAAAGAGCCCTCTGAGCACCATGCAAGAAGATTCATCGCAGAGTCCTGAAGAAGAATCCACTGAAAAGCCTGAGAATCATGATGAAGCTAAACCCACATGGAAGGACCATGCACCGGAACACCAGTCTTCACCAGGCAGCTCCGGGTGGATAAAGCAGCAGCGCTAGAAGCCAAGTCCGATGAGAAGGGGGTTCCAGGCCAGAGGCCAGCGGTAGGGAAGAAAGGAAAGGAGGCTGGTGGCATACTAAGCAGAATAAGCTTTGGTGGGACAAAAGGCTGCAGCTACCAAGAAACCAGCAGCTGAGAAGCAGCCTGCAGAAGAGAAACCCACCACAGAAGCAAAGAAGCCTGCAGCATAAACTTAAATTTGTTTATTTCATACAGGTCAAATCACTGCACAGCTAATTTTGAATAAAAAGTTGATCAAAGAAATATGGGGGGACAAAAGGCTAAAGAGACATAATAAAATGCAATACCTAACCTACAATGGATCCTGGAGAGAGAAAAATATGTTGTAAAGGACAGTATTAGGTCAGGTGACAACACTGGAACATGGAGAGCAGATTAAAAAATCAGTGTTACTGAAGTTGATAATTGTATTGAAGTTATATAAGAGACTAGCCTAATTCTTAATCCACACTGAAATGTTTAGGGGTAAAGGGCCATGCTATATGTAATTTACCCTCTGAATAATTTTAGATGAAGTTGTCTGTATAGAGAACTTGTGTGAATACCATAAGAAAGAATAAGAGATGCAAAATCTTAACAGTGAGGAACAGGTAAAAAGTATACAGCTGTTCTTTGTATTATTTGTATCATAACTTTTTTGTAATTTCAAGATTGCCTTCAAATAGTTTTAAAAACTTTTAAAAAGGTGCTTTGACTTAAGGTTCAAAGTTGGGGTTTTTTTTGTGGCGGGTGGGGGGATGTTGGCGTCTGTTTCCTATTTCTTTTTAGATATTTTAAAGTATGTTGTAAGTTTTTTGGAGGGAGTTGGGAGAGAAAGCAGGCAGGCATATTTCAGTCAATCTTGTTTGAAGTTCTCAATTTGATAAATGAGATTGAATGTTAAATGTCGACTAAGCCTGCATATTAATAATTAGTCTAAAATATCCTGATATATCTATAGCTGTGCTCATTGAGGTGGGGTTTTTTTTCCCTAGTATCTGCAAAATGGCTCATAATTTGGATGAATTTATTGAAGAGCAAAAAGCTAAATTGGCCAAAGACAAGGCAGAATTGGAAAGTGACCCACCGTACATGGAAATGAAGGTAAAGTTAATCATTTTCTTTCAACAAAATTTCTTTAAACTTGTCTCTGAAGATTAGCCCTGTGTAAATGCAAAACTCTGTCTTCTGAGTGAGAGCTCGCAGTTTCATACTTTAGTTTGGCTGTGCTATCGTTCTAGCTCTGAGAGCCTGACTCTGGACAAGATGTCAGTGATTCTGCCAGCAGTTTGTTCTTTTGTGGTGTTTTCTCTCACAGTTTCTCCTCTCTTATTAGAGTTTTAATTAGTCCTTTATATGCTTCATAAAATGGTTAGGAGACTAGTTTTAGTACAAGGGACTTTCCAAATAGAAACAGAATAGATATAAAAGCAAGTTCTTATATTCTATGTGGAAAAGTTCAATTTTTTAATGAATCATTAAACAAAAACTTTGTTTTTTGAAATCTGCAAAAGTGAATTTATTAGACTAGTTTCTTTTATTTTGTATACTTTTCAGAATATAAATTTATTAAAATGTTTCTGAAAGCAGTGTCTGAAAAGGCTTTCTTAAGCTTTTCTATTTTTGGCGAAAGAGTGATTCATCTGTTTGGCAGATACTTATTGAGACTGCCGGATACTGTGCTAGGCTCTGAGAATGCAGCACTAATCTAGACAGAAGTCGCACCTTCTCTCATGGGCTCAGTTTAAGTAATAAGATACAGGATGTAGATTAATCTGTGCCATATGGTCCATTATAATGAGAGTAACCATATATATTGGTTTGCCCAAGACAGTCCTGGTTTACCTGTGGTCCCAGTGTCTCATCTGTCCTGGACAAAGGTATCCTGGTGGACATGATAGATAACATGGACACCCCGATATAAAGGGACTTACATAGTTAACATTTATTGTGTGCTAAATATGGAAGAGGCATAGTCTTATGAGGTTACAATGATACTTCAAATGAATCTGTGAGATACGTACTGTTATTACTGTCATTTTCCGAATGAGTAACTGTGGCATGGGGAAGCTAGGTAAGGCGACTGCAGCGGTAGAGTTAGCAGAAATAGGCTTTGATCCCTGGCAACCTAAGTCCAATGCTTGTTCCCTTAGCCACATACTAGGTTGTCTTCCTTCCGTGACACTGCCATGTCCAAGGAGTTGTGCCGTGGACTTTCCCTCTATTATCTCATTTAATTATAATATCCCTGGGAAGTAGATGGAATTTTTTTGTTTTACAGATCAAGAAAGAAAGGGAGGCTTACAGGGGTGAAGTAATTTGTCCAGGCGCACACACTGGTGGGTCAAGATGGGAAACTTCACGCATCCAGCCCAAAGTCCACGCTCTTAACCATTCTCCAATACTTAGAACTAGCTTACAGTGTTTGGAAAGAGTTATTGTGTTGCTTTAAATACAGCTTTGTTCTAATTTCTATTATTAAACAGTACATAAATAATAACCTTTAAGGCTTTAAGTTCAAGTATCACGCTCTCAGTGAGGCCTTGCAGGCTCTCCCCCATTATTTTTGGGCCTCCTTTCCCTGCTGTATTTTTCTTTAGCCCTTCTCTATGATTCTCTACATATTATTGTACATATTGGGCTGTCGGAAGAGCCATGACGTATTTTTTCTGTTTTTGTTGTAAAAATGCGTCATGACTTTTCCGACAACCTGATAATTTAATTACAGTTATGTTGATTGTTTCTACAATAGTTTATAAGCTTCATGACGGCAGAGATTCTTGTGCTTTTTTCACTCATGGATTTTCAATCCCTGGGACAGTGCCTGGTAGAAATTCTGTGAATATTTGTTGAGTGATTGAGCTAAATATTGGAACAATTATTATAGTATTAAATACCTTCGGTTAATTTTTCAAACCTTATACTTAAATTTCTTTTATGATGTTGCAGGTAATTTTGTCAAGTTGTTTAATAAAAGTACTGAGATGAATTGTATATTTTGTAGGGTTTCTTCCCCTCTGCTTTTGTAAATATTATGTCTCTTTCAGGGAAAGCCATCAGAGAAGCTTTCTGAAAACAGTAAAATATTAATCTCCATGGCTAAGGAAAACATACCACCAAACAGTCAACAGACGAGAGGCTCCTTAGGTATGTCATTAGGTGTGCTGAACTGATTTTAAGATATTCTTAGCAGGCTGTGTGAAAAAGCGTTGTCTTGTCAGAAAAAAGGTATTTTTGGAATCCTGGTAACTTTCCTTTCTGGAATCTTACATGTAGTGGCACAGACTACATGTGAAATGTATACTGAGAACCTTGTACCGATTTTAAATGCTATTGCTTTGATTATGATTTAAGGAAATTATAGCAGTAGTAAGTACATATAACATAACTAAAAATTAATTGAAAAATTTGAACTGTGTGTGTGTGTGTGTGTGTGTGTGTGTGTGAGTGTGTGTGAGTGTGCGAAAGAGAGAGAGGAGAGAGAGAGAGAGGAAATTGTTGAATAAAAATGGTGGACTTGGTTTGATTTAAAAATCAAAGACATGCTTAACCCCCTGGCGGTAATCCCGAGTGTGGCTCAGGGTTAATTTTCACTGCCAGAAGTGGTAACCCCGAGCCACACTCGGGGGTACACTGCAGTGTCCCAGAGAAGTCCCTTACCTGCTCCCTGAGATCCTGCAGTGTCCTCCTGTGATCGCCAACGAGAACGCCGGCCGATGACAAATTGCAGTGTTTTTCATTTGATTACATTATTGAATAAAACTATTTTTTATAATTATTTATTGTATTATAATTTATGATTTTGTGTTTCAAACTTATCATGCTTGGGATGCCTACTAGACTCTTCTTTGTACAGATTTAAGTGAGTAATTCCTAAGAATTACAGGCCTACAATATAAAACAACAAATTTCCATGCAAAACAATGTACTGCTTTGGGTACAAAATTACTGACATAATCAGACCGCCAGGGAAGTTAACAGACATAAAATGTTATTTGGTAAAATACCATTTTAATTATTGATAACTATATTGGACTTGTAAATAAGTTAATATTGTAGTTATATTGATTCTTTGATTATACTTTGGTATGAAAATATTTGGAAACTTTATTACATTTTGGCTTGTTGGAAGGTATACGTTCTTTTAAAAGAAAATGTATGAGTATTTAAAAAGTGTATCCTGTGGATTATTGATGGTTGAAACTTTTTCACATAAAGGAAGTCAAATATGATGAGTTCACTTAGTTAAAACATCGTTCTCATGTGGACTATTTTTCATTCCTGAATTGTTAGCTGCGTTGCATTTGTATGTCACTGGGTTCAAGGGGATATTGCCTAAGAGACTGAATAGTTAGTGGGCTCTTTGTTTCTACTAGGAAAACAGCTGAAAGTGAATGTCATACTTTTAGTATCAGATATATAGATAACACTTTAAATTCTATTTCTCTTACAAGTTATTGACTAGTATACAGCTTTGGTGATCTTAAGTATTATATGTATTTTGGTTAAGTTTCTTAATCTCTAAGGCCCTCAGTTTCTTTATCTGTAACATAAAGAAGTTGGATTATCTTTGTTGTTTGTTTTTTTTTGTAAATATTTTTTTTTATGAGTTTCAGGTGAGGATTATCTTTTAATCCTGTTTTAATGAATGAAAAATTTGAATATTTCAAGACGATTTAAAAAGTTTACTGGTAGGTTCTCTCGAGCACTAAGGTCAGTGAGAATTACTTTGAAATTTTGGGGTTACAAGTAGCTTTGGCCCATGGCTGTTGTGCCTTTGCCACCTGACACAAGTTATGTAAGTTCTTTGTTTCCTCATCTTAAGAACTGACATCTGTCTGAAAAGGTTATTGTGGCAGTAACTGAACACATGTGAAAAGATGACGAGCACATAATTGATGGATAATACAAATTTTCCGACCTTTTTTACATCTTTTTAAAAGTAGGTTTTGATTTTTGAGAATTACTTTAAGAATTATTCTTTGATTGTTGCATTCACAAATGATGGAGAATTGAAAGTCTAACCTATAGACAGTGACCTCTGCCTGTTCCTTAATTGGTGTCCCTTGTTGGGCTCTGTCCTGGGCCCTCTTTTTCGTTTCATACATTCCTTGACTGACCTCACCCACTTACAAGACTCTGTTAACCATCAGTGTATTCATGACTCCTAAATCCCTATCTCATTTGCCAATTTCTTTTATGATCCCCAGACCCAATTATCTAACTTCCTACGGGACATCTGTAGTTGGATGTCATGACCTCAAAATCAACATGTGTAACATTGACTTTATACCTTTCAGACTTTTGGTGCACCAGTGAGCTGGTTGCCTAGTCGTCCTTGATGCCTCTCTTCCCTCTATAGCCCATAGCACGTAATTACACACGTCCAGTTGATTCTAATGCCTAGACCGCAAATACGTTTACTTTTCTCTAAGCCCATGGATGTTATTTTATGTAGGCCTCCATCATCTCTCACTTAGATATTTTTTCTAGTGTTTTTTTTTTTTTTCTACGGTCTACCCTCTCTACTAAGTCTCGGCACTGCGGTTGATATCCTTCCACAAAACAAATCTGATCATGTTAGTCTCAGCTTCAAATCCTTCAGTAGCTTCCTGTTTCCTATATGATAATTTTACCCTTTTATTACTTTTATGTGATTGTGTTGGCCATTCCTGCCTTGTGCTCCTTATGGCATTGGTCTTCCCCTTGAAAAATAATTTTGAACTTGAGCTCTCTGTTGGACTGCAGTGGCATGCCAGCTTGCCTGACATTGTGTATCCACTGCCTACCACTGTACCTGGCACTTCGGTGCTTAGAAAAGATATTCTGAATGGATGAATGAATGAAGGTCCTCATTGCAACAATAAACAGTTCTCTTGGGTGTATAGAATTTAATTTTCATGGAATGTTTCTTTTATTGCCAACTGAAGCAATAATTATTTTTGATGCACATTGAGTCTTATTAAAGAATAACATATAATATGACTAATTTTATGCTTGTTACCGGTATTCAGTTACTGACTTCTTGGCTGAATAATTGTGGCCTTAAAATGAGGCCAATTATATAATTTTTGATACATATTAGGAGAAATGTAAAATGACTTGGCAATAGAGAGTTTTCCTTAGGTGATCTCACTTAGGAATTATAAAACGAACTGATAATAAAGGTTAAGTTTGGAAATTACATATTGAATTAAAGCTGTGACACCATACTTTGAGTAATTAAACCTTGTAGCTATCAATAATACATGAATTGGCAATATTCATTTTAGCCAATGGAAGCAATCTATTATTGATAGCTCATAGTACAACTATCATGTAGCACTACATTTTTATGATTTTGTAAATTCATTTGTTGGATAGTGATGATACCCATGGATAATGCTTATCCATGTGGCTCATTTTCCACCATTTATACCTCTTATAGGAAGATTTGAGGAGCATTACAATGACTTCTGATACCAACAGCCCAGAGTTGATCCAAACTTCACAGGTTAAGGGCACAGTCCTCCACCACACCTCTCTGACCTCAGACACCAGCTGCCAGGTCAGGGGTCCATAGGCCATCCTCACTTCTAACCCGCTGGCTGCGAATATGGGGGTTTCCACTAACCCCGCAAGTCTGATAATTCACTAAAATGACTCAGAGAACTCAGGAAAGGGCTATACTTATTATTACAGCTTTATTCTAGCACAAGGATACAAATCAGAACCACCCACAGGGAGAGACACATATGGCACAGTCTGGGAGGGTCCACATGTGAAGCTGTCAGCCTCAGTGATACGTCACCCTCTGGCAGATCAATATGTGACAATATACAGATGACTGCCAACCAGGATGCTCATCTGAGCTTCGGTGTCTGGAGTTTTTACTAGGGTTTCCTTGTGTGAGCACGACTGATTGAATTGTTCCCCTTGGGGCTCAATCTCCAGACCCTCTAGTTTCCCCCTGAGGTCAGGCTGACGTCAGATGGCTCAAAGGTCCACCATCTAGTCACATGGTTGGTCTTTCTGGTGTGACCAGTCCTCATCTGTGTCATCTCTTTAGCATAAATTATCTAGGGGCTCACCATGAGTCACCTTATTAGTGTAAAATATCAGGTAGGGGCATAGGGACCTACTATGAGTAACAAAAGCACTCCCATCACTTGGAAAATTCCAAGGATTTGAAGTTATCCCCCAGGAACCAGAGAGAAAGGCTAGCCAATTTTTTTGTTATACACAGCATATATGTGGTTTAGTCCATATAAAATCATGAAATGATGTCCTTGGTAAGGAGTTTGCTAGAATAACTCAGATTTAATGAAATAATTAGAGTCAGCTGAAAATGATCTATAAAAGCAAATGACATCTTCTATCTCCTTAAGCCATAATAGACATATTTGTGAGTTTTTAAATTAAACAATTCTTTGACTTTTTCCTAACTCGTTTTCGTGTTTAATAACCATTGCTGTTGAGAAATGCCGCCATTAACTTTTTAAATTTAGGTCTATTATACCTCAGAGGTCATCTCCGCATCCTTTCTCTTCCTTAGATAAATTGAGCATTTTCCTTGGAGAGGTTGAGCACTATCCCTTTGATTTTGATACTTTATATCCTGGAAGACTTTTTTCTTAAAGATTTATTGGAGAAACAACAAAAAGCAGTTCTCGGACACCATCTGGGTGTCTTACATTTCAAATCAATTCTGGCATGTCTACCAGAGATAGCATCAGGTCCCACAAGTTAAGGTTTCAGTCCTACAAGACAACCCGCCCTCTCTTAAGACAGCAGTCACAAGCTTAGGTGATCACCTGTGCTTCTGACCAACCGGCTATAGATTGGAGCTCCCAATGACCCCCTCCTTGGGTTCGATTCATTTGCTAGAACAGTTCACAGACCTCAGGGAGACACTTATGTTTACCAGTTTACTATAAAAGGATATGATAAGGGATTCAGATGTACATGCACATGGAAGAGGTGCATCGGGCAAGTGTGTGGGACGGGGCGCGGACCTTTCCAGGCCCTCCCCGGGCACACCGCTCTCCCAGCACCTCCATGTGTGCCCCAGCCCGGAACCTCTCTGAACCCTGTACTTCTGGGATTTTTTGGAGGCGTCATCATATAGGCGTGATGGGTCATTATCCATTTCCAGCCCTTCTCCCTTC